AATATTATAGGGAGTATGTTATGTTATTTATTTAATCCTATTATATTTATATAAAATTTACATATAATTTAAACTAACTAAATTCTTTATTTAAAAAATTATTTATTTAATATTATAGGGAGTATGTTATTTATTTAATTCTATTATTATTTAAATAACATTTTACATATAAGTAATATAACTTAAACTAACTAAATTCTTTATTTTAAAGATTATCCAAATATTTTAGATCGTAAGTAATCCTGTTATATTTATACAATTTTAATATATTTTAGCCTGTAAGTATTGCATTTTTTTAATTATAATAATCTTATATTTTTATATTTAATTTATTATAATTATACAATGTTTACTCATAATAATTAAACCTTTTTATTTATTTTAGTTAGTAAATTATAATTTTAAGTTAATTATTTATTATATTAAAATATTATAATTTTATTTAGAGTAAGTATAATTAATATTGTTTAATATTTAAATTTTAATTGTAAATTTTATTTTAAATTTTAATTTTAATATAATTTCATTTTTATATTTAAAGATTTGGTACTAGTGGAAATGAAATTGTGGATCAATTTATTTCCAAAAATAAATTAAAATGGATTCCTTATGATAAATTTGAAAATATTGAATATCTTGATAAAGGAGGATTTGGTACTATATATAAAGCTAAATTTAATAGTATTGAAGTAATTCTTAAATACTTTGATTATCTTAATAATTCAGATGAAATTTTAAATGAATTTTTAAATGAAGTATGGTTAAATATCATTATTTTTTTTTTAATATTATAATTTATTTATACTAACTTACTAATAAATATTATTTTTTATAGTGGAAAATTATTAATTCATATGAAATTATTAAAATATATGGATTTACAAAAGATCCAAATACTTCAAAATATGTATTAATAATGGAGTATACAAATAAGAATAGTTTAAAAAGATGTTTAACAGAAATAACAAAAGATTGGAAACAAAGATTATTTTATTTATATCAAATTATTAAGGGTCTTAGTAATATTCATGAAAAAGATCTTATTCATTATAATTTTCATAATGGTAATATTTTATGTAACAAATATGAAGAAAATATATATGGAATTTTTATTAGTGATTATTTAGGATTATATCAACTTGCAAAATCTTTTTTAAAAGAAAATGATATCTATGGAGTTTTACCATTTATAGCACCTGAAATTTTAAGAGGTCAATCTTATACTCAAGCTAGTGATATATATAGTTTTTCTATAATTATGTGGGAATTTACATCTGAAATTCCACCATTTAATAATAAAGCACATGATCTTCAACTTGCTTTAAGTATTTGTAAAGGTGAACGTCTTGAAATTATTGGAAATACTCCACAATGTTATATAGATTTAATGAAAAAATGCTGGAATGAAAATCCATTAAAAAGGCCATCTTCTAAAGAAGTTTTAGATATTATTAAAAATTGGATTATTCGTCCTTTGGGTGGAGATATTAATGAAGAATTGAAAAGCAATATTATGGAATTTATAAATGCACCAATTGAGCATAATAATCTTATTGTAGAATCTCATCCAAAAGCATGCTATACAAGTCATTTACTTGATTTTACTAGTAAAGAATTAAATGAACTTTTAATTCTAGAAGATCCTCGGGAATTAATTGAACTAAAACAAAAATATCAAAGTTCTCATAATGAATTACAAAATATTCAAATGGAATTAACTTTACAAAATGAAGAATTTGCAAAAAAAGAAAGTACTTTACAAATCCAAATTACAAACCTGCAAAGTGAAAAGCAAGCTTTAGATGGTAAGCTGACTGAACAGTTAAAACAAAACAGTCAGTTAAATCAAGAAAAAAATAATTTGCAAGATAAATTAGTCCAAACAGAAACCATTGTTCAAGAATTAAAATCTCAGCAAGATCAATTTAAAAATCAAATAAATCAATTTCAAATTGGTTATAAGCAAATAGAGGAAGAAAATCTTAAGTTAGAAAAGATTGCTGAAACTTATTATCAAAGTTCTCAAAATGAGTTAGTTAATTTACAACAAAGAAATTTTCAAATAGAAGACGAAAATCTTAAGTTAGAAAAGATTGCTGAAACTTATTATCAAAGTTCTCAAAATGAGTTAGTTAATTTACAACAAAGAAATCTTCAAATAGAAGACGAAAATCTTAAGTTAGAAAAGATTGCTGAAACTTATTATCAAAGTTTTCAAAATGAAAATAATCAAAATCTGAGGCTTAAATTAGCTAAACAGATTAAAGAATTTGCAAAAAAAGAAAATATTTTACAAACCCAAATTATTGACCTGCAAAATGAAAAGCAAAAATTAACTGGCAATTTAACCAATTTAACTGAACAGTTAGAACAAAATAAACTAACTAACCAGCAAGTTCAAGATCAAATCAGCCAGTTAAAGCAAGAAGAAACTAAATTGCAAGAAAAATTATCTCAAATAGAAGCTAATATTCAAGAATTAAAATCTCACAAAGAAAGTTTAATTGAACAAAAAGAGCAATTGGAAAATAATTTAAATCAGTTTCAAGTTAATTATGAACAGACAGAACAAGAAAAGATCAGATTATACAATATGACAGAAGGTCTTTCACAAGAACAAAAGCTTAAAATTAAATTGAAAATCAAGTTGGAAAAAGAAATTGCTCAATTGAAACAAAAATTGATTATTGAAGAACAAATCAAAATGCAATTAACTCGAGCTTTACAGATTAAAGAAGATAAAATAAATGAATTAGAACAAAGGCTGATTAACCTTGATCAAGAGCGTATTAAAAAGTTACAAGATAAAAGAAAAGAATTGAGTGAAATTGATAAGGAATTATTAAATAAATTAACTAGTGGAAAAAATACTAAAGAAATTCATAAAGAAAAAGAAGCTAAACATAAAGAGATGAATGATCTCCAACAAGAATTATTGAGAACTTCAACTTCCTATACTGTCAATAGAAAAAAACGAGTTTTCAATCAAGTCAATAATTTTCTGAAAGTTAAGGGTGAATTCTTAACTTTACGAGAAGAAGCTATTAAAAAACTACAAAATTGCTGTAATCATCTAGAAAGTTCTATTAATAAGGAAAGAAATACTATTGGTTCTATTAGAGATATGAAAACCTCTAAATTGACTGATAAATATACTAAAGAATTTCAAAGTATTCTTGTAAAATATAATGATGGATTGTTAGAGTTGAACAAAAATTATTATTCCTTAAAGAAAATTGTTCAGGAAAATAAGGAGTTGGAAGTTAGCCTCATGTTTGAAAATATTCTTAAGTTGAATTCTTTCAATCTTGATAAATACAAAATTTTTAAATTTGCTACTAATTCTCAGGAAGGAACTAGAATTCAATTAAATTCTAATATGATGTCAGAAGATATAAATTCATTAAGAAAGAATTTGAATGATTTGAAATTAGAATTAAACCAAGAAAAAAAAGAATTAAAAAGTTTAGCAAAAGTTTAGATTTAACCATATTGATGGATTATAGTACAGTTCATAAAATAGCTATTGATTCATTGAAGTGAAACTAAGTATTCTAGAATTTATTGAACATTAATAGTTCTAGGAATTTTGAGATTTTTTTATTAATTTATAAAAACTTTTTGAAAGTTCTTTGTATAAGTCATTAAAATAACCATTTATATTGTAAATTTTTTATACTTATATTTAAATTAAAATAAATAAACCATATTTAGTATAATATATAAGATTCATTTAATTCACCAATGTAAAAAGCCAATATGTTTTATCGGTATTTTAAAATATTATTACATTAAGATCGATCAAAAATTTGATTATTTTGAAATTAATTTTATTGGTAAGCAAATGTAGTTTATTATCTGTACTGTATGTGGTTAGAAAATATCCACTGTATAACTAAAGATATCTATACATACTTTTAATATTACTGATTTTTTAAAATAAATTAGAAAATAAAAATTTATCTAATAGGATTATGTTAACAAATAAAGAAATAATTGTATGACTATAACAGATAAATGATTTTTTTTTGGATTTTTCCAATAATTAACTATTTAATTAATTTTGACTAAAAAAGTGAAATTTTATTCAGAATAATATTGTTTTTAAATTGTGATTTTAATTTGAAAAAATAAGAAAAAAAAAAAAATATTATTGAAATTTTGAAATTGGGTTTATAATTTCAATATACATAATATACATTTGTCATAAATCAGGTATATTGTAATTTCTTAGTATCGCAATTTTTTAATAAGAAAAGATGTTCATTCCATTTGATACAAACTGTTTTTACTTATTAAAATATATAATGTTATTTTTCTAGATCGTAATTACCTCTTACAACTGCCCTATAAAAAAATTGGATACGTTTTTTATAAAGTTTTTATACGATTTTTTTCCTTAGAAATAAAGTATCATAATAGGATACGGAAAAATGCACAATTCCGTATCACTAAAAATATGGTTTGGATACGGAATTTGCACGGAATTCATATGGAATTTACATGATTTGATCACTGATTTTATCACGAAATTTATACGATTTGGTCACTGAATTTACTATTTGTATTACAGTTTACTATAATTATATTTACATAAATCTAATTTTACTTTATTAAATTAAATAAAAAATAAAAAATAAACAAAATACAAATACAT